CGGACAAAAAGAGTATTGGAGATACTCCGTCGCGAACAACTGTTCGTCAAACCCGAAAAGTGTACTTTCGACGCAGCAGAAGTGGAGTACCTTGGGATGGTTATTCGTCCTGGAGAAGTTGCAATGGAACATGCCAAAGTCGACGGGATAAAGGATTGGCCTATCCCGACTTCCGTAAAAGATGTCCGCTCCTTTCTCGGATTTTGCAACTTTTACAGGGCGTTTGTATCCCACTACTCTGATATCGCCCGACCACTTATCAATCTCACTCGAAAAGATCAAGTCTTCGCCTGGACCCCTGACGCTCAGACCTCGTTCGATAACCTCAAACAATGTTTTACAACGAAACCGGTGCTACGAAACCCTGATCCCACACGCCAATTTGCCCTTGCTACTGATGCCTCCCTGGTAGCAACCGGGGCCGTACTCCTCCAGACGGATGAAAATGGCGTCTATCACCCTTGTGAATATATTTCCCAGTCCTTCAACCCCACTGAACGCAACTACGAAATCTCCGATCGAGAACTGCTCGCTATAATTCACGCTCTCAATGAATGGCGCCATTATCTAGAAGGAAACCCCCACCCCATTCTCGTCTTCACCGATCACCTGAACCTCCTTTACTTTTCAAAAGCACAGAAACTCTCTCGGAGACAAGCGCGTTGGCAGCTTGTTCTATCCAATTATGATCTCAAATTGCATCACGTCCCTGGAACAAAACTTGCGGCACCTGACGCACTTTCTCGACACCCGGACCACGGTCTCGGTGAACACGACAATGAGGATCGTGTACTCCTTCCAGACTCCATGTTTATACGGTTGATCGACGATGAACTCTCTGCCGCCCTCACCAAGAATTCCTTGGATGATCCCATTTTCTCCATCGCCAGCAACACTTTGGATGGACTTTGCCTGCCCCCTATGAAATCGGCCCTCTCAGACTGGAAAATATCGGATGGGGTGCTCTATTATAAGTCTCGCGCCTATGTCCCACCTCCGCAACGGACGGCCATATTGCTCCGTCACCATGACCACCCCACGGCCGGTCACCCCGGGCGGTTTAAAACTGAAGAACTTGTCAAACGTGACTACTGGTGGCCTGCCATGGGCACTTTCATTCGCTCCTATGTCACTGGATGCGCTCTCTGTCAGCAGATGAAAGCCGACACTCACCCTGTCTCGCCACCCCTTGTCCCCATTCCCTCCTCTGCTACTCGCCCCTTTTCCCAGGTCTCTGTTGACCTTGTCACCGGCCTCCCTGTGTCCAACAGTTTTGACCCCCTCATGGTCGTGGTAGACCATGGCCTTACGAAGGGGGTGATTATTTCTCCCTGTAACAAGAACATCTCTTCTGAAGGAGTGGCTAAACTATTCTTCAAGAACGTATTCAAACGTTTCGGACTCCACAAAAAGGTGATCTCTGACCGAGGCCCCCAGTTCATTTCAAAGTTTTCTAGAGAATTAGCACGCCTCTTAGGATACCAGATCGCTGCCTCCACGGCGTATCACCCTCAGACTGACGGACAAACCGAACGACTCAACCAAGAGATAGAGACATACCTCCGAATATACTGTAGAAGTAACCCCTATGAATGGTTGGACCATTTACCCCTCGCTGAATTTGTGCACAACCACCGAAGACATGAAGCAAGGAACGCATCGCCGTTCTTCCTCATGATGGGATACGAACCTCGCGGCATTCCCCACGTACTACCATCATCGGATACCCCTGCCATAGAAGAAAGAGTTCGTACCCTCCAGAAGATCAGAGAGGAAGCCATCTCCTGCCACAACATCGCTATGCAACGAATGGCAGAAAGGACGCACAAAAAGAAGTACCTACCGTGGAAGATAGGAGATAAGGTCTGGCTATCTGCAACCAATCTCATGACCACTCTCCCGTCTAGGAAGCTTGCGCCCAAACGACACGGACCGTTCCCCATAACCACAGTCCTATCACCAATCACGTTCACCCTGAAACTTCCTGAACAATGGAAGGTTCACCCCACGTTCCATGCTTCTGAACTATCCTCCTATCAAGAGACAGAGATTCACGGACCGAACTACGAAGAACCACCTCCAGATATAGTCAATCAATCGGAGGAATACGAAGTCGAAGCCATCCTGAGTCACAGGGGAACGGGTAAACGAAGACGCTATCTCGTATCCTGGAAAGGGTACTCTTCTGGAAGTAACGAATGGATTCCAGCGGAGAACATGGAAAACGCCGAAGACCTACTTTCCGCCTATAAGAAGAGGCACAAGTTGAACTAAATCGACCAGCCCCCACCGTCATACAAAACATGTCTTCTCAACAAACTACCTCCCCTACTGAATCCAACGTCTCCTCCATCAGCCTCTGCGAATCCCCCTTTGCCGACAACATTGTCAGCATTGAAGACGACATCATTGTCGAAACCACTATCCTATCCGTTGCCCACGCCCTCGAAATCGAGACCTATCTCAAAAACCAGCCAGCAGTGCCAGCTGGAGTCGCTGCCACTTATATCCATATCATTAGAGCTACCCAACGCCTCGAAGAAGAATTCGCCCAGATTGAGAACGATGCCCTCAGACTCTCCTGCAACCACGTCCAGCGGCACATTTGCTCGCTTACGCTTCAGCTATTCCCTCTTGGTTTTAGCACTATCTGCAGGGAAATTATACAGACTGTTGCTGATCGAAACTCCTTCCAAGTCGGCCGCCTGTTGCCTCCTATTACTCACAATCCCCCCGCTGTGCTACCTGATCCAACTTCGATTGGAGGGAACGTTGCACCAGTACCTATCCCAGCGCCCAAAGAAATCTATAAAAGAAACCTCCGCAACAGAGCCGTCGTTCACGGTGTAACCAAGAACAAATCGTCCAAAGGAAAGAAGCGCGAGGTCATCGACCTCACCAAGGAACCCCCCACTATCCCCTCCTCTAGTGTCACTATCAGATCCCCCTCGTTGAAACAGGTAGTCGGCACTATCGCTGACGCCAATTTTATCTGCCGACTCTGCAAGAAGCTTGGCCACAAGCACAAGAACTGCCCCCTATACTTTTGTCGCTTCTGCGGCGACACGCAACCCGGGCACTTCTCCATCTACTGCCCCTTCGACACCAACAAGCCAGCATTCCCGTTGGTTTTTACCGACGAAGGCTTCTACGACGTGTTAGCCGCATGGGAAGCGGAGAAAGACAAGAAAGAAGAAGAGGATCTTGAGCGTGCCAATAGGGAGTACTTGGTACAGCCAGAAGAATTGGAATTCCACAATGCCGACGCCAACCCCATCTACTATGCAAACCAGGACAACTAGTGACGTTGAAGCCGGTGCCATCGACCATAACATGGGGGTAATGTTACGGCACACTAATTCTCTTCGCTTCTCCTTTGTTACCGGACAATGGTACTTAAACACAGCTGTTGATGAACGACCAATGACTTTCCAGACTCTTACTCATATCGTCGCCAAGCTGACTTTCCGTGCTAGTAACCATCATTATGTTTAGCCGATCATCTCTTATCAAAGCGGGCTGTCCGCACCATGGTTACTATCTCCTATCTCTTATCTCTTATTGTCTACCAAGCGGGCTGTCCGCCTTCTATCTTGATACACATTTACAAGCTCCGCTTGAACTCTCGCTATATAGATACATAGCGTACCACATGTAGTTCTTCACTTTAATCTACTGGGTTCTACCTGGAACTAGTCCTTTAGCAAGGTCCCCAACCTTGCTATCTAAGAACCATTATTCTAAGGAAGTCGCCAATACTTGCCTTAGCCAGAAACCTCTGACCTCTCATTCGAGAGAAGAACCACGTCTGTCTCGCCGAATCTCAGTCCACTCGGACTAAGACAGCTCGACATACCCCAGTCGTAACACAACCAATATATTTGAGGTGATCAGATAGAGCCACAAGTGCCTTATGTGCACATGAGTATTTTGCATGGCTCATGACCAGGCATTCTTCCACAGCATCAACTGTCTTCCTTATGCAAGTGTTGGGATTTTGTCTGTGTATGTGGTTTTTTGAATTGGACCAGCTGCTGACAAAGGTGGTTGTGTGTGTAACACTCATTGAGTGCATCATGAGCTTGTGTGAGCTGAAAAGACCATTCTATTTGCAGGAGCTTGCGGTCACATGATACATGATTGCATATCTTAGAAGGCAGAAGGAGCTGCAAGTCTTCAGCCTTTCCGGAGTTGGAATTTAGCTTGGGACAGCCACTGTCATTGTTGTCATCACTTGACAGGTCAACCAACCTGTTGGCACATAGGTTCATGACCAATGGCATATACAAAGTCTGAATTGTTGTCCAAGCTTCTATGTGCCAGAGGAGGGTGTTACTATGAGTCAGAATGCGAGTGTGTCGAGTGTCAGTTGGATGTTGACCGAGTAATCCTGCATCTGTGTGTAGCTGATATCTGAAAAAATAAATAAGTGCATATTCATCATGTCATCTACTTGGGAAACTCACTGGGTATGTTCAAGATCAATGCTAGTGCTGATGAGGATACTGCGAGATACCTCAGAGTGAAGGGACACCACAGTGCCATCCTCCAACTCCTTGGAATCTTGTTTTGCGAGCTCCAGCCAAACAGCTGCCTGTGTCATAGCTACAAGAGTATCAGTGGTGTGCCAGTCTGTAGAAAACTGGAATACATACTGTCAACCCATCTCTTGAAAGGATTAGGTTTTGAATGGTCGACCTCCCAAGTCTCTATCTCATCTCACCATCTTGCAAGCAAGAAGGCACCTAGTTCAGACTCTTGGATAGAGCCTTTGAGTTCAGATAGTGTGATGTAATGCTCTTCCTCAGCACGGACTGCTTCCATGATCTTCTGTAACAACACTCAGCCTGATGATGAGATGTTAGATGAGTACATGAACACGACACAGTAAATACATACCTAGTGACATGATTTTCTTCCAGTTCCAGTCTCTGAAATGGTCGTCCAGGATATCTTGACGTGCTCCAGGACCCATCTCTTTAGTACTTGTAGCAACACAATTAATGTTCGCCTAGCCACATTTGGGGGCTTCTCCATCCATCCTGCCAACACCAGGGGACCAGTTGAGCGAAAACATTGTTTGACACACTTCAATGTGAGCTGCAAGATGAAATTTGGGTACAAAGAAGCAGAATATCTTTCCGGTAAGGTCTGGTTGAAGGCATGGTGGCAGGCAAGGGACACGACCCCAAAGTTTCTTGTGCCATTGGCATGTGATGTCATATGAGAAGTTGATGACCTTGAGGCTTGTAAATGTGAACAACACCGAAAAAACAAGGTAGTCCATATTCAAATATCTAGTGTGTTGTCCTGGGTGAGCAGAAAAAGCAGACTGAAGTAAACATACCTTTTGTCCTTCTGCAAATCTCCCACACCATTTGCCAATTTCATGTCATGGCGAGCACAGTCGACTGTACCAATGCCTGTAGCAGCAAATCCTTGTGATAATTTTGCATCTGCCATGTTTACAGTGTTATGGCTCGTGCAAGCACTCCTCTGTTGATAGTTAGGGGTTGTGGGCAAGTTATGGTTGAGAGTACATACCTCTTGTGTGACAGCAGAATTGTTAGCTATGTATTCCTTATAACACTTCTCATCAATAAAGTAGCTCCAGCCATTACTGAGACCTGGGTCTTTGTTGTCAGAGGAGATCGCTTGGCGCTTAAGATGAAAGTTCACATCAATTGCAAGAAAAATGCCATACAACCATCTGATATATGTTAGCATGTATTCCACCATGGGCAATAGACTGACTCACTATTGATTTGGCATTTCCCACCCATCAGGTAAATTTTTACCAGGGTGCGGGCATGCTAGGCATAGAAGAACAAGTTCTCCTTCTTGAGTTGCACTAGCACTTGCAGGATCATGACCACATCCAGCACACTTTAGTGACCTAAGATTTCTCCACTTGTAGATGATCCGAAGAAATATAGAGTAGCGATCCTAGACAATGTATGAGTATAGCTCCATAAAGACAAAAAGACCTACTCGTATTGGTGTAATACCAGTATTGTCATGCTGGTGTGCCAAACTATGATAAAATTCATATGCTGATACTTTTGACTCAAATGAGAGTAAGTGAAAGAATTTCAAGATGCCAAATGTTGCAGTGGTTCTAGGATCGGTGGCTATTGCGGGGAACAAATGTGCTTGAAGTAACTGCTTGTAGTGAGAGGCTTCGTGTTTGCAGCCACAGAAGTCTAGGCTGACTTCATGAATACCGTGAATTTTGATGATGATAAAGTCATCATCAAAGGCAGACTTTGGGTGACAGCATTTTTCTCCTGGCCTGTGACCAAGCTGAATGTGGAAGCCTAAGGATTTGAAAGTGACAGCACGAAAAAACCATTGTTCCATTCCTAAAGTGTGACAAATCAAAATACAGGTGCAGTACAGATGGTAACTACTCAACCTCAATCCTATGAAATGGCATATTGAGGTGTGATTGCAAGATGTATGCACAACAAGATAGTAGAGGCAACAGACAGTCTTGACATCTGAATGAGATGGAAAGTGCTCCACATGAGCACAATTGACCTGCACTCTTGCTGCATCCTTCCAAAAAGATGAGTTCATCTAGGTAAGTTTTGCATTCTGGAAGCCAAAGGGTGATGGGATCATCCTATAGAGAAGCTCAAAATTAAGTGCCAGAACAAACAGAAACAGATGAAACAGATGACTTACTCCTGGTGTTCTCCAGTGTCATGCTCAAATTGACTCATCAAAATGAGACTCTAAAGTGTCTATTTCCTGGCTGAGGAGAGTCTCATTCCATAGGTCCACACTAGGCACATATTGAGTTGGCACTTCCTCGTCTTCTATTACAGTAGGTTTGGGAGGAGACAAGTAAGATGTCCAAACACTAAACTTGCTGTTTGCCTGCAGGCTGAAGTTGTGATGTCTGGTATTGACCTGGTCAACAGGTTCACAATGGGGATGTTGGATAAGTTTGGGACATTTGGATAGGTGACCTCCAGCCAACATAACTGAGAGGGCACAACTTGAAAGGTGATACTGAATGCTTTGCTGGAAATTGTAGGAATACATCTCTATGGATAATGGTAAAGTGAGATTTGTGACACTAGAACTTCAAAGAAAGTGAGCTCAGCATCCATCCATGCAATATATCATGAGACATGAAACACATCATGATGATATATCAACGTGGATAAGTAAAGTAAATTCACCTCAAAAAATTGACCACACCATTCTGTTCATGCTCAAAAAAGAGGTAGGAGTTCGTGTTCACACTCCAGAGTTAGGGCTAACAAGATGGTTGCAGAACTGGCCCAAGCAAAATGTGCTATGGCCTGATCATGAGGTGGAGGTTAAGTTGATCCAAACAAGCACATGGAGATGAGTCATACCATATTCATTTGCACCCTTACGCTGACGAAGGCCAATTGATATTACAAGATCTTAGTGAGCTGGATGTGGTGGGCATGACTATTCTATGACTTGGACCATGGCAGACAAAAATCCAACTCTGAGCCAACTCTCTACATGCAATATAGATTCACATGGCACGCTATTTGGCTGATTTGGCATGGGAGGGGCAATCTGCTGCTATCCACCTCAATGCAGGTTCCATTGTGTGTGTCTCGTACCTGCATCCTACTCACTTGTGTCATTCAACAGAACATTCCCTTACTCCCTCAACGCCCAGTTCATCCACGCTCAATACTGATGCAGCTATTATTGGTCTCTATGTAGCCTGCTACTTCACTCCTGGCTGGTCTTTCTCATTTCCGATTGTCAAAGGTATGTTTTGCATGTCCCTCACCTTGCATATACTGATGATCCAACTACAATACAGTTCCTTGTACATCTATGTCATAAAAATAGAATTTGACTCAAGTACTAATCAATATCATCATAATGTTAACTTGAAAATTGAACACAAAGTTGAGAATGCAAGTATGCACAATGTATGTAAGTGTGTTTTCGTCCAACTGCTATGGAGAGACCGATTCAGTGCAATGGTAGTAGGGCCATCACATTTACAATGCTATGATATGAGATGGGCCTTGGTTCAATATTCAATGTTCAATCCTTGACCAGCTTAGCTTGGCACCATGATAGGGTTGGCCCATTGGAATATGATATTCGGTGAATGAGTTTTCATCCAACCAAGGCTTGGTATTGCAAGTTTGCCACACTCAAGGAGAATCCTTGGTTTGTTCTCTTCAATACTATTACTACTACCATTGATCAAACCTCTCTCCACTCAACATGGCCTGTCCAGTCATTTATAAAACACCCAAAGTGAAGCTACAAGCTGCGCATGAAAGGCACCGCCGTCATTATGCAAAGTATGTCATACATTCATTAATATTTCTTTTGTTCCTGACCAATCATACTAAAGAAATAGAGACAATATTCTGAACAAACAGAGAGAGCTTTATAGCTCGAAAACTAAGGATCCAAAGGTAGACACTAAGGAGCTTTTGAAGGCTGTCAAAAAGCTTTGCATCATAAGGATGGAGACAAGTCCAAGTCCGAGTCTTCGGATGATGGCTCCGAGTTGGTGTCAGATGATGACAAAAGTACTAACAAGCCATATGTTCAGATGTTTATTTTTATAAATAGACATGAAATGAAATATTAAACTCGACTTCAACAGATATAATCTTCCAGAATGCTTATGCATTCTCAAAGACACCAAGGACGAGATGTTAGAAATGATCAGCAATGACCCCTGCAAATTCGTTGAGGGAGTCTTATGCAACTATGTGAAGAGTTTCCCTGAAGACTCCTCCACTGGTGATATTTCCATCATTGAAACAGCAATCACTCAAGTCCAAGAGATACTTGACCGAACCATTCCTGTGCAAGATGAAATCCTGAATTTTTGTGGAGTCTCACCCAAGTGGCACACTGCTGACTCAGTCACCTGCTTCTTAAGGACTGTGCTTGCATATCTAGAGGACATCCAGTGTGTGATATTTTTTGGAGGTGTTTGTGAGCTCACAGTTGCTCACTTGATGGGGGAGATGATGTATCAGAAAGGCATCAGAATTTGATTTGCAGCTACCATGACTTCAATGTACTCATGTAACACACACACACACACACACACACACACACACATATATATATATATATATATATTGTACCTTGTAGTCAATACGAGTTTGCACTGCGTCCATTATACTCAGATACAATTGGAGATTCACTCATCTTGCTGGGTCAATGGTGTAGGTTTACAACTCAGAGTGGTGCTATAGGCTCCAAACTAATATCTTTATGTTGTAGGTCATGCACTGCCTATCTACTATACTTGTGGGACAAGTGCGTTCGACCCTAAAGGAGAAGCTAGTGCAGCAAAGGTCTAGAAATGGACACAGAAGGTGCTGCTTGTCAGCCGATGCGAAGCGCAGGAAAGCGGCGGGTGTGCGCACATAGTGCGTGAATGTAGCAGCAGGCAAAAGCACGGGAAAGACGCAGCTGCGAAGTGGCCGATGCACAAGGGGTTTGGATGATAACAGAGACGAAGGACAATAGAAATAGATGTAGAGCAAGGCAATAATGGATACGATGCAAGCGGTAAATGGATACTGATTGCCAATAGCTACCAACTGTAGGCTAATGGGAGTTTGCTACTGGAATGTCCGGAAAACAAGCTACTGAATGATATATACTGTTAGTGCTTAAGTATTGCGCTAAGTGCTGTCACATGGAACTGAGCCGATGTGCTACCGAGTTAGTTATGTAAAGCTATATGTAAATAAAGGTGGTGTGATGCGAAAATGGTCTGATATGTAAATATAATTATGGAATAATGTACCATTGGGTTGGTTTTGGACTAGGGTTGGATGCAGAACATCGGCCGATGAAGCGCGAGAAAAGCGGCCGCTAAGTGTGGCTGTGCGCTGTAGCACTCGAGCTCGTGTTGAGCACGTATTCATTTATTTCCCAATACACATCTAATGCCCGTTACTTTCTGATGTAACCCAACACTAACCCACACAACCCAACACAAACCCAACACTTTGACTAGCAGACCCGATGTTTCAGCCGCATCAGACCCGATATTTTCCCACGCACTTGTCCTATCCGTGTCCCGTCCCATCTTGCTAGCCCCACTAGGTGCATAGTTGATTATTTCACACATTACTCATGTTGTAGCCAGCACTATTACATGTTTTCCCATCATCCGCAGCACCTTGTGTTCATTTACATGTACTTCAGACCCGATGTAGGGATTCATTTCTGGCTAGGCTTGGAGAGACTGTCTTTACCTTACCTTATGTTGGCACTTTGTAGCTTACATAATCAAGTTATCTTTTCACCGGTTACCAGTATGAGTCTGAGTCTTGAGCAGTTTTTATGACATTTCCTCTCCTCTGAGCCTTGAGCCTGGTCCAGAAACCCTTTAGGGTCGAATAGCAGCTAGGTTCTGCAAGACCCAACATTGTTCAGACTCACCATCTGAATTGTTGAACCTTCACCGGTCAACAGATATTCAGTAGAGGAGGACAAGCCAGTAGATGGTGAGGACGAGGATGAAGGGGAGATGATAGGGGGGCCACGTGACCGATGTTACTTGTAACATCAATGGGAAGATCCAATCAATGGAAGCCAATGCAGAGGAACCAAATATTGGTCCTGTCAGGGGGCCAAGGGCCTATGGGTTGGACAACTTCCATGTATGGTATCCAACCCCCCCACATATATGATTGGTAAGCTGGTAAAAGCCTGTAAAGCAGTACACCAAAGGGATACATCCAATTTGGATAGTGGATGAGGAAACAGGATGATGTATCAGGGTTCCTGGCTAACTGTACAGAATGATCTATCATTATGACAGTATGGGCTGGCCAAGGGTGGCTTCTATCAGCACTTCACTAATCTGCAGCATGAGAATCCAATCATGGATACAGTGCACAACACTAAGAATAGGCCTCTCTGTTGTGGACTCAATCTTGGTGCGATAAGGGAATTTTTTTCATTTTTAGTGTACAAGTAGGTCAAAGGATCATGAATCTGCAATAAAATTTTTTGGTGGTGATTATGTAAGCAGTCCCAATTTCGGTCACCAAATTTTTTTCTACTGGCATGCAATTTCCAGTCGAAACATGCCCCGGAAAAACAAGAAGGCTCAGCAGGCCAAGACTCAATGAGCTCCCAGCAGCAAATTCTTTAGTAAAAATTATATTGACAGTGTGGCCCGAGCAGAATACCACCAAGCGTCTTCCAAACATAGTGTGGCATCATGTGGTTGAGCAGTCTTAATGCTAAGCAAGCAGTGAAGAAATACTGCTAGCATCACAAAGTTGGTGCAGGAATCATGATGGATATGGCTATATTGAACAATATTGAATAAGTCTATGTATTTCATACACTTGCGACGGTCCAGCAAAAGCCACAAACATGTTTTTTCTTCGCTGCAAGCAATGGGGGACGAGGAGCGGCTACCAAATAAGGAAAGTGGCAGTGCTGGTGGCGTGGGAAGTCCCAATTCGAGTCAGTCATTTTTTTAAATCGAAGAATTTTAAGAAAGTAACCAGATAGGTTTGTAGCTACGTTCAAATGGAGGCGATTCCAGCAGTTTGGGTACAAATCAGGCCGGGTGTGGTGATGTAGAAACAAATCTGTGTTGGTGTGGTGGCAGAGGTTGGTTTTTCCCGTTTTGCACTGTACTTCGTCTACAAATAAATTCGGAATCTCATTTCGGAACCGATCGAGGCTCCGAGTTGGGACAGGGCACCCGATACTCCAACACGAACCCTTAGTTCGGACCGGCTATGTATATGAACACGTGTGTGAGTGATCATGATCAACCGACATACTATTACTAAGAAATCGTTATACCCGTACCCTTTTCGGGTCCGAAAATATTCCTGATCAGTGAGTGACAATGAAGTGCTCGTCCTGACCAGTTGGCAAGCAAAATCTCCTAGGACTTCGACTCCATCTGCATCGTGGCACAGTTCACATATAACTCACGCACCAGTAATGCGTGTTCATGGACTCATCCATAAAAAGAAACGCTCGAGAAGACCGACGTAAATATGAGCGCTACGTAAACCAGCTGGGCCTAAACCTTGATCAGAATTTGAATTCACTGGCACAATCAGGTCCCTCCGAGGCCAGGCTAAGTACCTCATTCGGCTCCCACGAGTGATCTTTCTGAACACGAGTTATGTGAGTGTTTTGCACGCAGTGATTCAGTGTTCTGATGCCGTTCTCGCCAAGTTTGATTCTCTAACGAATCGAACGATTGATTTTCGTCCTGTAGAGTGGTGCATCGTGTATACACATTATAGATAGTCAGTCTTCTGATTGCCCTCCAGTCCGACTTCAAGCGCCCAGAAGTTGATCATCCCCGCTATGACGTCCGAGTCTGTAAACTCTCAAGTCCCCGAAAACTGTCGAGCTCCCAATAATCCTATCCTGAGGTTGGCGTTCAAAATCTTGTGCATTGTTGCAGTCTGTCGGGAGTCTCTCGACCATTGGAAAGATACAAAGAACAAAGAATGGAAGGACCATGTCTCAATAATGGTCAATCGATTCCAGAACTCGAACATCACTGTATGTTTGATATGACCCGATCCTTATGGCTAACGTTCTATGGCTGGACTTCAGGCCGGGCTCGTACTTGCAACTGCAACTCTATTCCTGTCGTCCGTGCCTCCTATCGAGCATTTGATGGCTTATAACTCCTCAATCTCGTACATCTTCGCCATGGTTTCATTTGGTGCCGCATTGCTCAGCGTAATATCCGGATCTGCTGTGCTTGTTATCTATGAAACTAGCACCGCTCACAAAGACATGGAAACCCTCAAAGTGAGTCCGTTTGTCTGCGTTGGCTCACGATCTGACACGCGGCACAGTGCATGCCACGACACCAAGTCATCGCACTGCTGCTATGGTTGGCATACCCCTCATTCTGTCTGTCTGTTGCTACTTTCTTTCTGTTTGTGTGTGAGTGAGGCACTAGATGCTTGTTCAGATCTGCTGACGAGTATGGTGTTTGCTTTGGGGCAGCTATCTTTATCGCCTGCTTCTGGTCTGACAATAGTGTTGTCAACATCATAACTATCTTGAGCTGTGTGGCCTTCCTCGCACATGGAGTCCTTTCGTTCTACGTTGTCAGCGTTGTGGGCAGACAGTAAGCTAGTAGCATTCTTGTTGGATCTGTCTTAAAAATGCCTTGCAGGCCGGTCGATAAAAACACCTCTCCCGTACAAGTTGCTGACAGGCATCACGCTAGTGTAGAAGCTGCATGTCTTTGAATTGACGGTGCTGCTGACGACTAGGCGTGATAATTGTTATAGACCACTCAGGGTTCGGGTGCTTCGGGTTGCACATATCGGTCAGTGGAGTAGCAGCGGAACTTTCGCCAAGAACTTGTCATGTCTCCTTAGCCTAGTATCACATCTAATACATGGATTTATCACACCGCCTCATGATCGCCGATGCAGAAGGTCCACGCAGTAAAGCGCCTTAGAGAATAGAAGCCCAAATGTTGCAACTTGAAAACGTGACGTATATTTATGTAAAGAGAACAAGAGGAATGAGTGCAGATCCGCAGAGGGCGTAACACCGCTGACTGCGGATTTAAAGGAAATTGGTGGCTGAACGAGATGATGAAGGGGATAGAAGTGATGATCAATCACCTAGTCTCACAACACCGGAACGATTGTGGACATATTCCCTCATCCCAACGAGCCTTTTCATTGCATCGAAGCAACATACTTCATATTTCCCCTATTATTTTTATACTCGTCTGAGTCAAATCAAACTGGTCCAGCTTTCGGACTTGAAGTTTATAACCCCAGTGGGACGCAGCGTCTCTTTCTTTTTATCTGCGTGTTTTCCCACAAAACTCGCAAGCCGCCCTCATTGCGAGTTCTCCCGAATGCCCTACGACGATTGTAATGTCAAGTTGTATCCCGTTCAGAACCTCGAGACTCGCGACGGCTAGACTGTTCAAAGGGACTTTTGTTCGCGAGAAACTCGGGTTTAACAGACTGCCCGTATTGTTTGTCCTCGATCTCGACATCAGAGGATGCATATGCTGCCGTGATGGGTTGTTGTCTGTGCAGGATAGTGCGTGACATATTCTTATATCCATCGTGCACGTTGGTTCAAAGACTTGGGTGTGTGTTTAAGAACAATAATCATTCAAAGACAAAATGCAGCCAAGTGTAAGCGTTGTCACCAAAAAGATCATCGGGCACACTTACTGTCAGCGCTTCACGCCTCCCGCGACGTCTCTCTTGACAATCATAGGGTCTAGTAAAATCTAGCGTTATCTCAGGTAACAGTGCGAATGCAGATATCCAAGGTGTTGTTGATGAGAATTGGGGTGTTGTATAAGATGGCTATGCGTACCACCGCAAACCGCAAAACCACATCCCTTGAAGGCGGTTCACTTACAGGGAATACGTATGAAAGCCTAATGGATGCAAACCTGAGCCTGAGGCTTAGCGATCAAAACAGTCACGACTAATTGAAGACACCGAGAGGCGGAGATGAAGATGGAACGCAATCGATCAGCGCGAACAACAAATAGATTAACCAGAAAACCAAGCAAAACAAACTACTGATCGAGGTCCCTCTCTGAAAATAATAAGCACCTTGTTACACATCGGTACAGAGAACTTACTTAAATCCTGATATCTGAAGTACCGAACAGGGTCCAAGTCTGCCAACCGAGAAAGTAACTCTCCGCATTCCTGTTTCAAGGTTTGGGAATCCTGAGCGTGATTTTGAAGTAAAAGTCGCTTATAGTGGACCAATGACTCCATACACCCTGTAAAAGAATTGAGAAGTTGCGAGATTGACAAACATGACCGCTTGCATTTGCTATCAGGTTGCTCTTGAAGCAATTCGAAGATGAGTTGTATCTCGCGTTCCAATTGTGCTTTGTTTTCCCCTGCTCAATGCACCGAGTCAATCCACGTTGAATTGCATATGAAACAAGTCTGTTGTCGAACCGGAACCAATGAGCCATCTATGGTATATCCACGCGCTTTGATCTTCTGGGTCGGTGTATAATGCGTTGCTTACAAACTCGAACTCTGTTAAAGAAAAGAAAAAAGCTCGGAGAAGTTAATCCGATTGAAAAAAGGCACGTACCGTCGTCTCTCGACTGGATAGGATCCAGCTGACCACTTTCCCAAAGTCCGACCAAGGTCTTAGACCTTTGATGCCATGCACTGAAATTGGAGAAATTTACTCCAATTTTGCGAGAAGTGTAAGCCAACTCTGAGGTCTCAGGCCTTCGTGTGGGCATGTTTTCGAGGACATATCTGCGATAATTCCAAGCGTGGACTAGAGAGGGTGGGTATCAAACATGTGCGGTTGCAGCGGTGAGATGACTCACAGTTCCTTGCATCTGCGTCCAGCATCCTCTCCGCTACAAAGAGTTCCTTATCCCAATTTGCCTGTCTCCATTCCATAGACGGTACCTCATTGCGTTCTGGCCCGTCTGGGACATTCTCGAGACACCAGCGACGGTGATTCCATATCCAGTAGACTTTCGGATTTGCTTTCAGAGCTGTAGTAGTCATGGAAAGCTCGTTAGAGAGAAGGTTGTTTATTTTCTCTGGAGTACTGCGAGAGCGCCAATTTTGAGGAAATTTCGCGTCATGTTCGTACATGCGCACCTCTGAGGAAATATACCGTTGAGTAAGATATTTCGACGATAATTCCACACGGTGTAGAATTCAGGGTTGATCTGGAGCAAACGCTGCGTCAATTCAAAGGCATCATTGCTCCAGTCCTGTTTCTTCTTCTACACAGATTTCAATCAGAAAGATGACGGTACCCAAGTGAGAGCGATTCGTACTCGAGATAACACATCGTCTGTTAAAGCGAGGTACTCATCGATCTTGGACTTTTCTCGCTGTCTCTTTTCAGCAAGAGCCTCTGGAGTCTGTTTATGACGTTTGACGTTATGCTGTTTTATGCTTATTTAAATTGTGCGCAGAACGATCTGAACGTAATTCTTACCATAGTAGTTGGTTAGTGCTAGTGAGCAGGGAGAGTTTGATTATAAATATTTACTAGATCTTGGGAAAAATAAATAAATAAATACTCTTTCTAACTCTGGCGGCGCTGTGCTCTCGTTCAAAACTCAATACCAGGATCTCAAAATGCCTTCGGTTGCAGAGAAGTCGACTTCAGTGGACTTATTAGCATCCCAATTTCCTGTGACACTTCCAATACCGACACCTACAACCTATTCAAACTTGTTGTCTATCAAGGATGTTCAGCGCGAAGAAGACCTTCTCCGAAACCCATCCTCTTTTCGTGCATGGTGGACCGCTATACATACGACGAAAGAGGCGTATAGCGCGCAACTAAAGGCAGAACGACGCGTAAACGTGCCCGACGAAATTGCGACACTCCTCGGTCCACTCGCGACTTCACTGGCTAGACATTCGTTGCAGTGTCTAGCTTACCTTTACGAAGCAGCTATTGTTCAGTTTCCTGGCTCGTTCAAACTATGGAAGTCGTACCTCCAGATGAGAATGTCCTATGTTCTCGGCAGACAGGTGATCAAGAAAAGGGCTGGCGGAAGGAAGAAATTACCGGAAATGAAAGATGCTTTAGAGGAGGAGAAGGAGGACCTAGAGTCATGGGAGGATGGCCTTAACGGAGTCGTAGGTTGGGGAGAATGGAGATCGCTGATTGCTACATATGAAAGGGCCCTCATGTGGTTACCCAAAGTACGCTTTATTGCCAAACCCGTTGTGTTTGTACTAACTGCAGAATCATTTCAGCTACCCAGATTATGGCTAATGTACACATCCATCTTCTTCCACCCTATGTGCCCATCTCTCATCTCACACACGCATGCTCGTCGGACATTTGACCGAGCTTTGCGTACTCTACCGCCTTCACTACATTCCCGAATATGGGTTCGATATCTACTCTGGGCCGAGACGAAGGGCGGATCTACCACAGTGTCCGTCTACCGGCGTTACCTTACTGTTGATCCAAGTGTTACCGAACACTACACCTCCATTCTCCTCTCTCCTGTAGACTCTGTACCACGGCCTCTCGAAGCTGCCAAGCTCTTGCTCTCACTGGCAAGAAAAGCGTCACGAGGGGAGTATGTCAGTCCTGAAGGGAAGAGCTCGTATCAGCTTCTTGGAGATTTCCTTGATATTGTCGAGCGATTTTCTGACGAAGTTGGGTTTGACGTGGAAGCCACAATCGAGTCCAATGAGGTATATGCGAAAGCCGACGCGGAATCTTCGCAAACGGATGGGCAGCTCGTACGTATGGATGGACCCCCTGTTCCGGTTGGAACTGATGGAGCATACGATGAGGATGAAGATCCTCTCAGCCCACGGAAGCTCAATATAGAACGCATTGTCCACAAGGACGGTCTTGAAGTTTATAAAGACCAAGCTGGCCGTCTCTGGACTGGACTCGCGACCTACTGGACCAAACGTGGCGAGTTTGATCGGGCGATAAGCACCTTTGAAGCGGGCATCGCAACGGTATTGACGATCAGGGACTTCACGCAGATTTTTGATGCATATGCAGAGTTTTGCGAGTCATTAATCAATGCAATGATGGAAAGTCTCGAGAGTCCAGAAGAAGATGACGACGACGAAGACACGAAGGAAACTGAACGAGAGATGGACGTTAAGATGAAGGAGTTCGAAGCTCTTATCGACAGAAGACCATTTTTAGTCAATGACGTTCTACTTCGAAGAAATCCAAACGACGTACAGGAATGGGAAAAAAGAGTTGCTCTTTGGGGCGAAGATGATGAAAAGGTATGCATTAGTCTGAAGGCTGAAATTGGTTCATCTGACGCGTGCTCAGGTGGCCGACACGTACACCAAAGCATTGGAGACTATCAACCCCCGCAAGGCTACTGCCAACCTCCATAGACTTTACGTTAACTTCGCCAAGTTCTACGAGGAAGGTGGATCCTCAGGTTCGGCGGAGCCTGACTTGGATAGCGCCCGTAAAATTCTCGAGAAAGCCACCAAAATAAATTTCAAAGCGGTCGAGGACCTCGCGGATATTTGGTGTGAATGGTCAGAGATGGAGCTTCGACACGAGTGAGGAACATCATTTAGGCTTTTATTTGAATTACTGACTGTGCTCTCAGAAACTATGACGAGGCTGTCAGAGTTATGCAACGCGCTGCTGCCATTCCTAAAAATACCAAGATCAATTATCATGATCATGTGAGCTCATTTTAGCGGACTACTTGTCAAATTTGCTGATTTCCGACAGTCACTACCCGTCCAAGCCAGATTATTCAAATCTTTGAAGCTCTGGTCATTCTACGTTGACCTTGAAGAGTCAATAGGGACTGTTGAATCGACAAAGGTTGTCTATGACAAGATTATGGATCTGAAGATTGCCAACGCTCAAGTTATCGTCAACTACGCTGCTTTCCTTGAAGAAAATCAATATTGGGAGGACAGCTTCAAGGTGCGGCTCATCTGATCACTGTCTTTTTGGCTGATTCTTCAACGTGTTTACAACCAGGTGTACGAGCGCGGCACAGAGGTCTTCACTTTCCCCATATCATTTGAAATATGGAATATTTATTTGTCGAAATTTGTGAAGCGATATGTACGTGCTTTCGTGCTTAACTGCTATCTGTCCCATCTTGTTAATACCTTTCAGGGAGGATCTAAGTTGGAGCGAGCTCGTGACCTGTTTGAACAAGCACTAGAAAAATGTCCACCGAAGTCATGCAAGCCCCTGTTCCTGATGTATGGTCAATTGGAAGAAGATTATGGTCTAGCAAAGCGGGCCATGTCTATTTATGAGCGTGCAACTCAGGTTGTCGCCGATGAGAACAAATTTGAGGTACGCACTCAGTTGCATTCCATAAGGACCTTCCTTGACATCATGATAACAGATGTACACTATATACATCGCGAAGGCCACAGCTAATTATGGCCTACCAGCCACCCGCCCAATCTTCGAGCGCGCACTCGAGGTTCTTCCTGACAAGCAAACTGCTGAGATGTGTCTACGTTTCGCAGCATTGGAACGCAAACTTGGCGAAATCGACCGGGCTCGCGCCATTTATGCACATGCTTCCCAATTCTGCGACCCACGCGTCAATCCCAAGTTCTGGCAGGAGTGGAACAGTTTCGAAATCGAGACGGGTTCGGAAGATACATTCAGGGAAATGCTTCGTATCAAGCGGAGTGTCCAAGCCCAGTTCAATACCGAAGCATCATATCTCGCTGCCCAGACGTTGTCGGCGCAACAAAATGGTACCTCAGAGCAGTCATCCGCTGCACAGCCAGCAGACCCGATGGCTGCTGCAGAACAAGCAAAAGGTCCCGCATTCGTTGCAGCCAAAAAGACAGCTCTTCCAAGACCAGATGAGGACGAAACCTCGTCTGCGCCAGACTTGGCGCCACAACAGGCAGACAACGCTGATGAGATTCATATTTCCGACGAGGAAGACTCATGAATGGTGATATATTATTGTTATATTACATTGGGAGTGTTGTTACTTTTTCTAGTTGTCTGTATTATCTTGTGTCCCATTTTTCAACCTCTGCTTCACAAAGGTCCTCCCATTTTGCGTCCCAACCGTCATCTCTTAGGAAAGGCTGCTCGACCCATTGATTAATGGCCTTCCGAGAATCTTCGAATGATACAGTATGACTGCGCAAGGTATCAACTAGTTCCTTATGAAGTGCGAGGGACCGGTAATAAGGAGTTGTCAGCTCAGACAAAGACAGCACTGCAAACCTCGTTAGAAAGTCACGACAAGAGCGATCTTAGCCTACCAAATTTCTCGATGGGCCATGAAACCCACAGAGGTTCCTCGTGGCACCATTGAAAGCCCTTCAACCTCTCTGCTTCAAACATCAGCGCCTCCATGTTATCGAGCACAGTGCTCATTCTCCGCAATAGTTTCGACTAACAAATGTCCATTATTATTGAATCACAAGACAGGCACCATCTTACGAGTTTCATGAGAACAGAATCAAGTAGAGTGATGCATTCATCCATCACGTCGAGCTTTGGACTGATCATGAGCGACCCAGGCTGTGTATCGGCAGGGACCATGGCAAGTGCATTACTGAAGGGCTTCATAATTACCAACCGCTAAGGATGAGAGATGAAGCACACACTCCAATTCAGTGCGGGAATCGACTAGAGTTCGCGCACTTTTTAAGCCGTCGACGAGGACGATATCATCCCATGTATTTGCGATCGAGCGCAACTCGTAGAGCAACGTTTTAATTTTTCGATGAATAGTCGCATCGGAAGCTCTGGATGGCGATGCTGGCGTGACTGATTTCTTTACTTGTGATACAGGAGATGATGTTGGCGTAGAAGGGCCATGAAATGATGCTAGGCGCTTGCTCATGAATGCAGGATGCGTTTATTTCAGAAGCCTTTACCTAATACCAAATAGTCATTCCACCGAATCGACACGAATGGCTTACATTTACCGATATCGACGATGTCTGAAATCACCGCGGATCACTCATATTTGTTGAGATCAGCAGCTGAACTTGAACTGACAGAAGTTTGTCCTTCAAATCGCTCTAGCTGTTCGTCGCTCAGATCGATGGCAGGCTCGCAGACAAAAGGCGGAGAAAACAAAATCTCTTGGGTCTCCAATTCAGCTTACCGGCAACGCGATCGACATCCAAATTCGTGGCAACTACGCATGGATTGCTGAGAGCGCGCATGTGGCCAAGAAAATCGATTTAGAGGTACGTTTCGACCATCTGCATCACTCGACTTGAGAGATCACGACACATTTTGTAGACAGGAAAGACTTTACAGATATACAGAGGTCACCATGCGCCTGTGACCTGTCTCGCCTTTTATGACAGGATCCCGAATTCGGGTGATGAAAAGCTTCTGATAACTGGGTCTTGGGACAAGGCAAGGGATAATATATACAGCCACTGAAGTGATGTTAACGGAGTCCTTCTGCTAGACCATCAAAATATGGGATACCAATGTATGTACCTGAACGCATTTCATGTCATCGTATATACTGAATGCAGGTCGTCTCCTGCAGACAAAGGGCCTAATCTCAACGACGGCTGCTCACGATGATTTTGTCAAAACTCTACTTGTCGTGCCATCTGTGAAGCTCTTGGTCAGCAGTAGCTCCGATAAGATTGTCAAATTCTGGTAAAAAAGAACTCCTCTCATACTAGTAGTCCTAACATCTGCGCTTAGGGATCTAACCGACGTTCTTGAGAAGCCTCCGCAGCCTGCTGGGTCAGTCTCGGCCCATAGTCGCCCAGTAGAATGCATTGCTGGAATTGCCAATGCCGATGGTTCCGTGACCCTCTTTACCGCTGACACCATGGGAGTGTTGAAGGTGTGGAAGCTGGAAAGAGAGGGCGGGCCGCGACCTCGGTGGCGAAGCACTCTTCAGGACACTCTCAACCACCACCGAACGCGCATCACTGAAATCATTTATGATGCAGGTTATATCTGGACAGGTAATAACGATCGCTCACCATTACATGCTATTGTTTAGCTCACTCCTTACTTCAGCATCATCGGATGAAACAGTACAAGTCGTTCCTTACCAATCAGAATCCTCAGACCAAAAACCCATTCCACCCCTCACGCACCCATTGCCTGTGCGAGCGATTCTTCCACTGGCACTCTCCGATCTTGAAGAGCCATATATCGTGACTGGATATGGGGATGTTATTCGCTTGTATGATGTTTCGACACCATCCGAACCTGAGGTTCTAGGGGAAATCGACGCGCATTGGCACGATGTCACTGCGCTGAGATTGTGGGTTCAGAAAAGTCGCACAGACGACGGAAGAACACGCATAGAGCCATGGATAATCAGTGCCAGTCTGGATGGCACCATTCGCAGATGGCGATTTAGTGGTAAGTCTATACTGTGGGTATTGAGATACATTCAAATAATTTCTGTAGAACTCCATGATTCAAAGCCAGACAACCCTGCTGGACAGTCGAAAGCTACAGTTATTGCTCCCACTCCCCAACCCAGTGGCAATGCTAAGGATCAAGTTGAGATCACGGAAGAGGAAGAGAGAGAACTCGCAGAACTCATGGAGGAAGACTGAGATACATACTTCAAGAATGATTTGCGGCTGTTAAGTAGGAATCGAGTAATGCTTCTCCCACCCGGGATAAAAGGGGTCCTCGTTCAATGTCCTCTCCTGCCAATCTTTTGGGACCCATCCCTTATCCTCTTGCTCTTTTGCCCACTCTCGTAATGCAGGTATAACTTTGTGCTCGACGGACCATGTTCCTTTGTACTCCATGATCGCCTTCTTGCCTTCGAGCAAAATCTTCAAAAGCAACTTTGGAATGAATGGCTCCTCGCGGAAATCTGTCACCGGCGTGAATAAGGCCTTGAAGTTGAACACGATGGCCCGGGAATTTGGCAGGCGGCGTAATGTTTGCCAATCGACTCGCATGTGAATGTCGGTGAGAGGGAGGTCTGGATTCTGATCCTGACGATGACTCCACTCTGGTTCATCCGTCTGGAGATAGAGAGGCTCCCCGACTTCAAGGCCCCACGACGCTCGCTGAATGGGCTTGTCACAAGGCATCTTAGAAAAGTACCTGTAAATTCATTGGGGTGTTCTTATAAGTGAGCCTGACATATTTACTACATTACTTACCTGTCCATTGAGAACGCCATCTTCTCCTTATAATCAGGAACTGGGCCGTGAATTTCATGCAGTGGTTTGCCCATCTTCTGACCAATATTCCAGCCAACTGCTGATGTCGAGACGGCAGCTCGTAGGGTGTAAAGCCCAGTATCGGGGTCTTCCTGGGTGATGAGGAAGTCCTCCGGAACATTCTCAAGTAAGAAAACCAGTGGATGTGCCGTTGAAATGTCAGTCGTCGAGCCGAGGATGTGGTTGCGGAACGTCAAAGTCCACTCATCAAACTCAAATTGTTGGGGGTACCTCAGGCAGAGGTACTGAATAACCATTTGCATCAACTCCTTTGAAGCTGCTTCGCTACCGGGCAGCTCATCTATGACGGATTTGCCATGGAGGGCATAGATTTGTCGCCGTTGCTTAATGCGATCGCGATATGTGCTCTCTAGCTCCAGCCAGTAGTCTGGTTCCAACTTCTTGAGGGCTGCAAAAGATATAGATAAGCGAAGCATATCAACGACGATCCAGCCCGCATACACATGTTCTGGTGGTATTCCCATCTGAAAGGCCGGTATGGACGAGGACGAGCGTGAGCTATGTTAAAATCGTGTACTGGCTTTGGATGAGGGAAGCCTGTCAACCGAGCAAAGTCTGGTAGTCCTCTGCCAGCCACGAGGGCTGCTTTCTGTCGCAGGAACTTCCAAAAGCTGCGTGGATAAACACCCTTGCCGTAACATACGACAGCAAGAGCAACTGCGATAACTGCGATTCCTGTAACGTTCGGTGTGCTTATCATGACTGTGAGACACTAGAGTACTCTTTCCAAGGTGATTTGACATATGAGGGTGAGTATACATATACATATACTTTATACCCATGCTAGTTGGTGATAAGACGCGAGCACGAGACCAAAATTAAAAACATGCAGTCTTATCTTATTATGTAATGCAGCCTCTCTCTTTTCATCCCTTCTTCCGTCCCTTCTTGAAGGTCGTCTTCGACTTCCCGGCAGTTTCAGTCCGGCAGTCTCTGTGCCGTCCTTGCTCCTCACCGCGTTCATGTCGCATTTCCTACTCTAGCTCCATCGCCACCCCGACCCGTTGGCCGCTACGTCGTGAGTTCTCTATCATGGCGCATCCTCCTAGCGACTTTTTTGAATATACGTCTGGGCGGTGGATGTAAGTCTCATACATGTTATTCTATGGGGTATACGTCTAACCCGTATTCTAATATGTTCAGCTTCAACGATGACTTCGCCATGCAGAACGCAGACGTGTCTTCAAGGTCGATGAGCTATGTCGACTTGCAGCGGAGGCCGTCAATCGGAGTTCTGATGCTATTATCCGTATGGAAAAACTAGCCGAGGGTGGGTTTAACCGCACCTTCCTCATTACCATGCGCTGTGGCTTCCGAATGGTGGCGCGTATCCCGTACCCGGCTACGATTCCCAAGTACTTTGCTGTCGCCAGTGAAGTGGCTACTATGGCCTTCCTCCGTTCCTTGGGCTGCCTATATCTGAGGTATACGGATACTCACCTACACCGAACAACGCAGCAGGGACCGAGTATATCTTTATGGAATTCGTACAAGGCACCAATTTAAGCGACATATGGTTTGGTCTAGGGGAGGGAGAAATCATTTCAATCTCACGCCAACTTGCTGAACTCGAGTCGAAGATGATGTCGATTGCTTTCCCGGCTGGTGGAAGCCTTTACTATGCCGAAGACCTGAAGAATGCAGCCGGGAGCGCCTCTTGGCCTACTAGGCCGGGCATCACACTAGAGAACAAGCGTTTCTGCGTCGGCCCAGATACAAGTCTGCGTCTATGGTATGGCAGGAGATCACAGCTCGACTTAGATCGAGGATCATGTGGGCCATTCCCTGCTTTTTATTATTATTACTCCCTTAAACTAACTGATAACTATAGACGAAAGTGCCGAAGCAGTCCTCATAAGAGGGGCCGAAAAGGAACTAGCTTATTTACGGCGGTTTGGTCGACCGCTGTTGCCGTTCCAGCGCGTAAGGAGGGAGGCTTACAAGTACCAGGAGCAGCCACCGTCAGACCACATCGAGAACCTGGACCGCTATCTCCTCATTGCGTCCTCACTCATCCCAAGGAACCCGGCTCTCAATCATTTCCGCATCCGCCATCCTGACCTGCAGCCGAGCAATGTCATCGTTTCTAGGTCGCCCGACTCTAACTTGCATGTCGTCGGCCTGATCGACTGGCAACATACCTCGATCCTGCCACTGTTTCTCCTTACCGGTATACCCCAACAGCTACAGAACTACGATGATATTGGCTCGCAATCTATGACGCGGCCTTCGCTACCGGAGAAGTTGGATGAATTGGACGAAACCCAGCAAAGCGGAGAGATGGAACTCTACCGTCGCCGCCTCGTCCATTACCACTACGTCAAAAACACGGAGGAGTACAACGAGCTTCATTACGCGGCGTTAACGGACCCCATGGGCATGCTCCGCCGCCGCCTCTTCTGCCACGCCAGTGACCCGTGGGAGGGCGAAACTCTCGCGCTGAAGGTTGCGCTGATACAAGCAACAGAGAACTGGAAGACGCTCACGGGGGGAGGCCTGCCGTGTCCTGTCGTGTTCGACCCCGATGACGTACGCGAGACAATGAAGCTGGATGCAGAACAGAGAGAAGGAGATGAGTCTCTAGAGGGGTGCCGGGTCATGATCGGTTTCGGGCCTGAGGGCTGGATGCCCGCCGAGCACTACGAAGAGGCCATGGCACTGAGCAAGAAGCTGAAGGAGGATGGATTGGCGGCGGCCGAGTCGGAGGAGGAACGGGCTCAGATTGCTGCGCACTGGCCCTTCGACGACATGGACGAAGATGAATACATGTGATAAATCGAGCTAGATATTCCGCGGTGTTGCGCCTCCGGCTCTCATCGAGTGGCCTGACAAAGCGGATCCACAATGTTCTTGCAATCGCCGAAAGAGCCAAGAACGTGTTGGAATCGACCCAGCACTGGCCGAAATGGAAATGCTGCGTCGCGGTATGCAAAGTAAGCAGTCCACCGGGGTGTGTTAGCTGTTAGCTTCTCTTGTTAGCTTGTTCTATACCTTTCTTGCACTATCTCGTTATCTTGATCACCATCGACACCATACTGTCACAGTACTTCTTAGCTTCTGCGCCTTGTGGCACTTCCTCTCGTCGATCCTCCGTAGGTACATGCATCATCGCGTCTCTCGTTGACACCTCAGTATTGTCTCCTAACACTACTGAGGTGCGTAGTATGTTCGTATCTCACCTGTTCTCTTACTGATGTATCCTAGCACTCGCTTCTCGCTAGTTCTACTGGCGTGCACCTCCTTTCCTGCTCAGTCCATTTCATTCCATCTCACGTCAACAGTTGTTTCATACATTCTATCACTACTCAACAAGACCGCGAAGAGGTACGCCGATTCCGCACCGATCTCGAGACAATGTTTGCTAACGCCGAGGGCATCTAGGTGTCGTCTCTTGACCAAAGATAAGATGAAGAAGGTCTTACGAACCGCTATCACCCACGCTGTCGATGGCAAGGCCTGGCAAAAGCTTGCCAACCCCACCGCCGGCCGGGGCAAGATGGTAGTTCCCAAAAAGAGGCCGAGCTGGAACAACTCGGCCTCCGCTGGGACTACGCACGGTCTACCATAAGTTCCAGCTGCAGGCAAACGCTGGGAAAGTGCCCTCGACAATCAAGCAGTGGAGGGAGGCGAACGGAGGCACTCATGCCGTCATGGCTGATGTGTTTGTGAAGAAGGACGGTACTAAGGAGGATGTAGAAGAAGGCCTGGAGGCGGCTATCAACTATGTTCACGTTTTCCTCTCCCTTAACCCCGGCTTCTACACCAGACTTGCTGTTTTGTCAGACGTCTTCCTTTTGTTACGTTGATCTGGTTATGTTACCTCGGAAACCCGCCGCGTCCAGTTGCATGTTGGACTTCTGGAACAACCGCCTGGAGCTAGCGCTCAAACGTTGCAACACTGAAGAACAAGATTTATGCCAAACTGCGCTTTCTAGTAGCGAAAATGTGAGTGCAACGAGCTTTGTTGGGTCATAATACTGATTGCTCTCCTCTCGGTAGATTCAAAAGAAGCTTAACAAGATCGTGTCAGATGTCACCGCATACACAGCGGCCGTTCTTTCTGCTGGAAACGGTGAAGCTTGTTCATTGTGGCGCAGAAAGGAATTCATACTCGCTCAGATGATATGAGCACTCAGTACTGAGTACTGAGGTAGTAGTGTTGTGATGTCCATCAAATTGCGATCGAATGATATACATTTGCGCTCGTTCCAATCGCAACACCAGTCATAGCTCGAAGGGCTTGCACTGTCGGACGGTGGATAATAAGTACTACTGTGGACTAGTATACTCTTAAGTTAAATAAGGACTTCCCGACCTTGCCCGATTCACAACCTTGCGGCCATTTGTCTCCATTTATACTTATAATACTCAGCTATATTAATTGTGCTAGTTGCAACGTGAATTCATCATCCGCAACCGCCAGTACTTCAAAATGCCCTCTGACATCGCTCGTGCCCCATTGATGAAAATCGATCTTCCGTCTCCTGAGGAGTTCAGGAAGAGGAAAGTTGCGCTGGTCTCTGGTTCGTTTCATCTTCAGCTTTCCTTTTGCCTCAACGTGGATGATGCGCAGTCCGATCAAACAAACAGGCAATCATGCCATTGCTTTCGCCCATTCTTATACTACACATCCACTTGCTGGCTTGTCGTTATGTTGCACGTATGCTGATTTGAAATTGTACAGGAATAACTGGTCAAGATGGTTCATATTTGTGAGCATGTTTCTCGTACAGTCAATCGCTAGTTATATCTCGATTCTCGACCTTACACAGGGCAGAGCTTCTGCTGGGGAAGGGATATGAAGTACATGGTATAATCCGTCGCTCGTCCAGCTTCAACACTGGTCGTCTAGACTCTCTTTATGCGGATCAGCATGAGCGTACGTGTCCACATAGGACCGTACAACTTGCATATTGATCATTATCCCCAGGACCCAACAAATTCAAGCTGCACTACGGTGATCTCTCCGATAGCACCAACCTTGTCTACATCCTCGCCCAGGTTCTCCCCACAGAGATCTACAATCTCGGTGCTCAATCGCACGTCAAGGTGTCCTTCGAGATGTCAGAATATACTGCCGATGTCGATGGCCTCGGCACCCTACGCCTCCTTGACGCCATCCGCACTGTCGGCCTCGAAAATCACACGCGGTTCTACCAGGCTTCAACCTCAGAACTCTATGGAAAGGTCGTCGAGACCCCACAGAGTGAGACTACGCCGTTCTACCCTCGTAGCCCGTATGGTGTCGCCAAGTTGTACGCATACTGGATTACGGTGAACTACCGTGAGGCGTACGGCATGTATGCGTGCAACGGTATCCTTTTCAATCACGAGAGCCCGAGGCGAGGGAGGACGTTCGTCACGAGGAAGATCTCGAGGGCAGTTGCAGATATTAGTGTCGGCAAGCAGCATTGCTTGTACCTCGGTAACATTGATGCGCAGAGAGATTGGGGACATGGTGAGATTCTACCTGTCCAGTTTCATTGCCTCTAGTCATGTTTCTCATAGCCAAGGACTACGTCGAGGGCATGTGGCGCATGCTTCAACAGCCTACACCCGATGATTTTGTTCTTGCCACCGGAGAGACTCACCCTGTGCGAGAGTTCGTCGAGAAAGCCTTTGCGGTTGTCGGGGTTAAAATAATGTACGCATCCCGTCCTGACTCACATCACGTCTAATGTGTCCTTCATTTCACATAGGTGGCGCAATTCTGGTGTGGAAGAAGAGGGCTACGATGCTCAGACCGGGCGGGTGGTAGTCAGAGTCGACCCACAGTACTTCCGTCCCGCAGAAGTCGAGTATGTTTTCTTCGTCGCGTCTGTTCTTGCAAATTCTCATACTTGTATGCAGTCTTCTTCTTGGAAACCCTGCCAAAGCCGAGCGTGTTCTTGGATGGAAGCGCAAGGTCGACTTCGATTCCCTCGTGACAGAGATGGTAAAGGCGGATTTGAAGGCAACGAAGAGCCTCGTGGAAGATCAGAACTGATGAAAATGACACGGCTATAAATTGCAGCTGTGCAACTATGTACAATTCGAGGACTTTCTTGTGGACTGATATCTTAGTATCGTAGCAATCAAATTTGTGTTCGAGGTTTGAAATGAAGATCCTACAGGGGTGCATACAACTGAAATAAAGATACAATAAATTCATATTCCGGTGAGGTCGCGCTCTCTGCTGGCCTTCAATTACAACTAAAGCCCAGGGAAATCGCCACTCATAACTTCGCTTTGCTTACCATGAGAACCGAAGCTGTTTTCAAGCTCGCAGCTGCTGTTGCAACCAGCTCATCAACACTAGGTAAAGATGTCAGTAAAATTCAGAGCAGAAACAGGCCACATACATCTCCTTCGCTGGCTTAATATCCTGTGAAATTCATTAGCAATTGCGTTTCAATATGATCGTTTGACGTACATTGATGGATCCTGCTACCTTGCCCATTAACCCTGGATACATGAATGTGAGATAGAGAAAATAGTCCAAATGAGCTTTCCTTACACATCCGACCCTCCAGAGATTTCTCGGGATGATTCTCTAGTTCAACATCGTGCGGGACATGACCTTGTGCAACAAGCTTTGTAATTTCTCCCTGTCGCTGGGTCTCCCATTCTTCAACATAAGGAGTCTTCCGCACATTCAACGGACGACCAGTGTATATGAGGGTGCGGACAGTGTCGTCATAACCAGCTGAGACGACTAGTTCTTTGTGTTTTGGAGGAGCACCTGCTTCGGTACTAGCCACAAAGCGGGTGCCGACCCAAACACCGGATGCACCATACCTTGGTCGAAACATGTCACTAACGAAGCGTATTAGGCGTGGGAAGTAAGTGCTTACGAAAGTGCGGCAGCAAGACCACGGCCATCTGCGATACCCCCGGCAGCAACGACGATGACCGGCTCACCTGTTAATGGGCTTTTGGCATTCTTGCAAACATCAACAGTGGTGGGTATCAGAATGGAGAATGGAGTTTCGCCAGTGTGACCACCCCCTTCACCACCTTGTGCACAGATGATGTCAACGCCTAGGAGGATATTGGAAACGGTGAGCAAGCAGGAGTGAAACTAAGTGAAATTCGCACCTTGTTCGAGGGCTTTCTTAGCATGCTAATGACATCAATTTAGACACATACGGGCTACATCTCGTTGGAAAGCGTATTACCTTTGGATGACCGATCATACTAAGGGTGAATTTAATCAATTGCAACTTCCAAGAGTAACACACACATACTTCATGACTGGAATTCCAGCAGCATGAAGCTTGTCAACAGCTTGTTTTGGCGGCACACCGACGGCAGAAACAAAAAGTGCAGCCCCGCTGGCTATAACGACGTCTAAAAGCGCGTCAAGTTGACCGCCCGTGTAATCATACTGGAGACCGGTGTTAGACACATGTCTCTGGGTAGGAGATGGGCTCTTACATTTGTCTTCCGAGCGCTGCCACCTACTTGAGGAAGCAAGAGGTCTACACCGAATGGTGCGGTCTTATCTTCCAAATAGCTCTTGAGTTCATTAATAGATTCCTGGAGCATCTTGGGGCTCTGACGAACTCCGCCAATGACACCAATGCCGCCCGAATTGGTCACTGTTGCAGCTAGTTTGGGCCCTGCGGCAACGTTCATGCCTACACACATATGAATGTCGTTATGAGAACTATAACACAGTAAAGTCACCTGCAAGCATGACGGGATGATTAATCTTGAAGAGGCGCGTCAGAGGCGTCGAGAACACTGGCTGCGAGGACGGCATGATGAAGTATCAGGGTAAGAACCGAATGTGAACCACAGCGCTAGCTCTTCCACGTTGCAGCCATTTGAGTAAAGCTGCAACCCAAGTAGCGGCCACCGCGTAAGGGAACAAGTTCCGAATAGCTCACCGTTGGCTCACCGGTCCGCTAGCTCCGAGAATCACGTGCGAAATTGACCCATAATTTGATGACTCATCAAGGCTATCTTTACTTGTGCCATGGCAGACAAATGTCCGGTCGACCACGGTAGTCATTCTTCTGACCAGTCCTGTCCTGTCGACCACAAATCTCGTACAACATGGGCCTCTGTCTTGCCAGGGAATAGCCCTACACATCCAGTCAACACATCGTCGCTCTCGACCGAACGTGAGGTTTCTTCGATACCCCGAACAGACAATGGTAATTGGGTATACCCGTCGGAAGCTCAGTTTTTTGCTGCGATGGCGCGCAAGAATCATAATCCGCATGCGCCAGATATGAAGACCATCATTCCTATCCATAATGCCGTAAATGAACGCGCCTGGTCAGAGCTGATGAAATGGGAATCTGGGAGAGGTGGTGAAAAGTGCGGGGGAGTAAAGCTTGTAACCTTCAAGGGCAGACCTAATGACCTCACCCCAAAAGCTCGACTCATGACCTTACTCGGGTACGTACTTCAGCCTACAGTTCTTACGGGGAATGCTGATTTTGTTTTGCAGCTACTCTGCTCCCTTCGATCGTCATGACTGGGTGGTCGAACGATGCGGAACCCGGGTCAGATACGTGATCGACTTCTATACCGGACGGGGGGCAGGGCCATCGTCAAATAATGTCTCTTTCTATCTTGACGTTCGGCCTGCCTTAGACAACTGGGAGGGGGTGAAAATGAGAGCCGAGAATATTTGGCAGGATTGGTTTGGAAGTGTTCGCAGTAGCAACACCCCGTCTCAGTCATGAGTAGTCTTCATAAACGTATATTCACCTCTCTGGACCCCATAGATAATTTATATCCCACCCGTGGTTTACTAATTGTGAATATATTTAGGACTTATAGCCATGGTATTGGAACGGCGATACGTCGATCCAACCACGACCATTCTCAGTCGTCTGAATCATATATCGACCCAGCTTCTCCTTGACGAAGGAACAAGCCTGATGTAAAATCAAGCCTACCTTGCCTTTGGTATGTAATCCAATCCTATAGAGTTGTGCCCGGGGGGATATTTATGACAATTCATCGTTCAGTTACCGAAGTTATATATGGTTGATTTTTCAAACACGTGACAGACGCCGCGTCGCGATCGTCTCTGTTTATCGGTCTGCAAATCTGGTGCAAATAAGGTTTAAACCTGGAGTATAAATACCTCATGTTTGTCGTCGCACTGATATCCCTCAGTCAGTTCCGCCATTCATCATTTCACGCCCGCCAATTTCTTTACGATCCTACATTCATTCGCCAATATGATTTCTACTACTACCTTGACCCGTACCGCCCGTATTGCTCTCCAAGGCTATCTTACAGCCGCTTTCTTCAAAGAAATTGTCGTCGACCGCACTATTCAAGTCATATCCAGATCAGAGAAGGTCTCCATTAGCCTCGTCACATCCACTGTCTGCTCCTCGACAGCTGTCCTTCTTCTAGCCACCGCTAAAGCTGCTCGACAATTCCTCAGCGACGATTTCCAATGCGTCCCCGCTCACAAGGACGTGGACAATACCGCCGAGCCCAACGCACCTTTTGCTGGCGACAAGTTTGCGAATGCTATCTCAACAACCAACGCTTTTGAAACACCAGCTCAGCCATCCTCGTCGCTTGCAGTGATTGAATCAATCGAACCCGCCTTTGACGGTCCCACCGAAGGCTTATTTACAATTGATTCTGACACGACGCTCATAGCCAGCGATGAGTACTTAGACGAGGACGTCTTCTTCGGCAACTGCGTCTCGGACAACATAGATCTTGACCCGCTTACTGGCGAAAGCACTTTCTACGAGGTAAGAGACGGCAAGATTTTCTCCAATTTCTGTCACTAATATTTTGGTCTATAGGAAGACTGTCAGGTTACAGCACAGTGCCTTACGGACAATGAGCCTGAAAACATCTTGCACGTCAAACATGACACTCACACTATCGACAATCTAATCAGGGCAATGTCAGCTCTTTCTCTCGACGATGTACCGTCTCACATTTCAACACACTCTCTCGACGATGTATCTTCTCATATTTCAACTATTTCTCTCGACGATGTATCTTCTCATATTTTAACTACTTCTCTCGACGATGTATCTTCTCATATTTCAACTATTTCTCTCGCCGATGTACCTTCTGAATACGACTCTCAGACTATCGACAATCTAACAAGAGCAATGTCAGCTCTTTCTCTCGACGATGTACCATCTCGCATTTCAACTATCTCTCTCGCCGATGTACCTTCTCCTCTATCTCCTCTCAGCAATGTACCGTCTCACTTCAATTCGACACTCTCTCTCGACAATGTATCCTTCGACGATCCACCCTCTCGCCTCTCAACTCTTCCTCTGGACCATGTACCCTCTCATTTATTAATTCTTCGGCCACACGTCGACAATGGTTCCCCTCATTCATCGAAATGTCAGCCTCAACGCACCGTAGTACACAACCATGCCATTGACAACCTAGTTCGAAAAATGGTAGCTACTATTTCTCTCGACAATGTTCCCTCTCACTTATCCAAATTTCAGCCACATCTGCACGACCACGCTATCGATGCTCTACTGCAAAAATCAAAAGCTCCTACTCTCGACGACAACCACGCTATCGACGCTCTACTTCAAAAATCAGAGGCTCTTATCACTGCATACGAAAACCCCACTATCGACGCTCTTCTTCAAAATTCAGAGACTCTTGTTGCTATCAACGCACTTGCTTTTGACGGCATCGACGCTCTACTTCAAAAATCAGAGGCTCTTATCACTGCATACGAAAACCCCACTATCGACGCACTTGCTCTCGACGGCAACCACGCTATCGACGCTCTACTTCAAAAATCAGAGGCTCTTGTTGCTCCCAACGAAAACTCCACTATTGACGCACTTGCTCTTGACGGCAACAACGCTATCGACGCTCTACTTCAAAAATCAGAGGCTCCTGTCGCATCCAACGAAAACTCCACTATCGACGCACTTGCTCTCGACGGCGACCACGCTATGGATGCTCTATTGCACACATTAGAAGCGCTTACTCTCGACAATAACCACGCTATTCAAGTTGACGCTCTACTGCATAGATCAGACGCTCATACTCTCGACGACAATATCTCTCAGTCATCGAAACACATGTTACAAGATAACACAGACGACAGTTCCCACTTGCACCACCATACCACTAACAGTCTACTCCCAAATATCGAAGTTATCAATCCTCGGAATTTCAACTACGACACACCCTACACGACGATGCTATCGACACCGTACTTCGAAATATGGAGCCTCCTATTCTCGAGGATAACCCCTAGCAGTCACCAAAACGTCAGCCACAACACATCCTACTAGCACGACCACAGTATCGGTATCCTACCGGCTGCTGAACTTCGCATGACATCTACGAACAGTGAGTGGCCCATTCATACTCCTACCTCTCTTACTCATATTTCAATGTTAGAAAGTAGATGACACATCTTTTCCAACACATCTGGTGTCAGAGGTCCCCTACGACCCGACACCTAGTGGCCTCTCTCGCTGTCCCCTACGACATGGAGTCATACTATCCACGAGATTGAGGGTCCCACACATACTACGCGTCGACATAACAGCTCTTCGATGAGTCAGAGGTCCCCTACGACCATATCTCGATGACACGTCAAACGACACAACGACCTCCTTCATTGTCCCCTACGACCTGGAGTTATTCCCAAGAAGTTGAAGGTCGCCACCCATCGTCCAAGTCCCGCACATACTAGTATATCTAACAGACCAGGTCCCTTCTGGCTTCCTCCACTGTACAGACTACAGATTGTCTTTGATTTATTGTCTCCTTCATTGATACGATCATGGACTATCTACTTAATCTAATTACGGACTCATTTCTGTGATCTACGTTGATTAAATATATTAATATGTATTGTCCCCATTCATTTTCATGTATGCACGGCTCGACAGTGTGCTTTAAATACATTCTTGCGTATGTACAGAAGACGGGACGCTCTTGAGGGTCTGAACATTCGTCACCAAGCTTAACGCAGTGGGGTTCGCATCACCAGATCACTCTACCACGAGCGGAAGAGGATGAAATGCTGTGGTCCGATTTCCATACATATCGTAGCCCACACTCAGGGTCAAATCATCGTAAATATACTCCAACATGAGAAACATACTTCATAGTTCACCGTTTTCCTCGTATTCGAACCTTCTTGGTAGGCGGCCTTTCTTCGGGTTCATCCTCACTTTCCTCTTCATCGTTCCCTAGTTCTTCGCTATGCTCATCATCGCTACCTACTTCACTTATCTCCTCGTCTTCATCCCACTCATCATGAGCTTCCTGGTCAGATTCGTCAGCCTCAGCCTCAGCGTCACTGGCATCCTCATCAGATTCCTCTTGGTTTTTTCGCGACCCTTGTTCTTTTTCTGCTTTCTTCCGTTGCACATTGCTTTCTTGTTCCTCCCTTCTTTGCTTTCGCAATCTCTCCTTAGCGACATGAGAAGCCTTGAGTGCAGCAGCTTCGACTTTTGATTTTTTGACTACACGATAAAATGATCAATTACCCTTGCATTATTATATGAATGATTGATTTGCAACGCACCGAATTCATGATACAGCACAGCGCCTTCCTTCCCTGGAACGCCTTCAGAAATTTTAATCAGCCTGAGCTCCATTCTCGGGCCAACTTCACTCAGTCGAACAGCCTTCTTTTGCCCCTTCTTGTTATTCCGCCCAACATAATCATCTGCCAACGACACCGCATCCCCGTCATCGCCAGCAGCACTCGAAGCTGACGATGCTGCAGACTCATACCCGTCGCTCCCTGGGCTAGGCTCTCCTCTTTTTCTAAGCAAAAAGTCCGCGACATCCTTTTCGTTTCCAAGGTCCAAGAACCCACTGGAGGGCTTGGCCAATGATTTTTTGGGGGCACCTTCGAGCACGCGTCGGACGCGCTTTGAGATGCCGTATGGTTTTACAGTGATAACATAGTGTCTGAATTCGACGGTACCTCTATCAGAGTTGTATGCTATCAGGACGATCCGACGGCAGTTGGAGAGTGACATTGAGTTGGGGGATAATGGAGGGAAAAGAGATTGGAAGGATTTCATGAGCAGTGGAAGATGTGGGGGTGTTTCGGGAGAGGGTGGAGGGAAGGAAGCGAGGACGACCTATAAAGTTATCATGGTCGTACAAGACTGATGATCGAAGCTACAATATGTCACTTACCAATGGGGCGGTGAGGTACTCCATCCCCATGCTTCGTGAGGATCGAGAAGTTTTCAAGATGTCTTTCATCAAGCTGTATCGTTCCACGCGGAAGCTAAGAGTAGGTCCCGCAGGAAGTCGAACCATGCGCAGTGAGGGCGCGACGTCTGTGACAGTAAGAGCTAGCAAATGCGTGACCCCGAGCGTAGGAGCCATAGTCAGGTAGTCTTTTAGTTTGTTACGATTGCGTTCCTGCATTCAGATGTTCAAAGACGTTTGGAACACAAAATTGGTCGGGCTCACTTTTAGACGACTCGCGGTATTTGGTTCCATAACTTTTCGCAGATCGCGAACGAGCTGCGTGAGGGAAGAACCCACTTGTCCATGTTTGATGATGAAGGACCTAGGTTCACCGTCGTTCGCGCGTTGTACAGTTGCCCCTGCACCCTTCAAATGTGTGCGATTTTTGCGTCTGCGAGCCATTGTGATTTTAGGAAACTTTTTCCTTTCGGCAACTAAAGGCGGCTGTTTGGTTCTATTTGACAACGCCTTTAGGATTCAATAAGGACAATCAATCAATCCAGACATCGTCGATTCAAAGCTCCGATTACATGCGGAAGGAGCCAAGCCCATCTACAGGTGAAAGTTCAAGATTAAATAAATAGTTTCAAGACGTTTGGTGGCTGAATACAAACACGACAGGAATGATACATCATATGACAGATCAAAGCTACATACGAGACGGAGAGCAGAACGATAAAACAGAGGTGTCGGTTGGGTGGCTCACCGATGATATCCTATGCAAGGGTAACTAAGGACACAGATGGAGGCTGTGGAAGAGAGACAAAATCAGGTGGAGACAGATGGAGAAATGTTTATGCTATAGATCAGCTGAAAGTCGAGCAGCGATAAATAATCTGGGTTCTCGGATTAGAATTCAAGGAAATGATACGTTATAGGGTCAAAGCGCCGATGGAGAGGAGGAGGAGCTTCTTCCATGACAAGTCCGGGCATGTCTTCGAGGGTTGGGTGGGGAAGGTTCAAGAAATGACGAGTGTCATCCAGTGACGTCGTGTGGGGGATGATCGGTGCCTTTGATCGGTGGAGGTAAAAATTAAATTCAAGGTAGTTGACAATGCTCCTCACCTTGATTTCGCATCGTTCCAAAGCTTCCCAATCAACGCCTCGGAACCAAGGATGATGGAGAATGTCTTGTGGTCCACCTATCATATTACCAAGACGTTTACTTCGGTCAGGATGTAAGAACGCTTTGATCAGTTCTTTAGATAGCCGATCCATGGTGCGTGGCCAATTAATATTGCCTCGTAGGATTTTCTCATAGATACCGTAGGCGGTCTCATCAAAGAATGGCGGATAGCCGACTAGCATCTCGTAACACAAGATACCGCATGCCCACCAATCCGCGGCTTTTCCGTGACCGTCTGACTGAATGATTTCTGGGGCAAGGTACTCAGGGGTGCCACAAAGGGTCCAGGTACGGTCGTCGACGATTTTCGCAAAACCAAAATCAGTGAGTCGGAGATAGCCTCGACAGTCGAGCAGTAGATTTTCGGGCTTGAGATCACGATATATGATGTTAAAGGAGTGTAAATACTGGAGGGCGAGGATAATGTTAGCGAGATAGAATCGAGTGACGTCGGGAGTGAAACGGCCCGCCCGTCGGAGATGGGTGAATAGTTCACCGCCAGGAATATAAGACATCAACATGTAAATGTTGAGACTATCTTGAAAGGTTGCAAAAAGGTCCACTACGAATGGATGGCGCACACGTGAGAGAATATAGCGCTCTGCGTTGACGTGTTCAATCTGGCGGAGGCGTACGATTTCGGTTTTGCGCAGGACTTTCATTGCGAAAATATTTTGAGATCCTGTATTCGCTGTCTTGAGGCGGACTAAGAGCACTCTTCCAAAAGTGCCGGTACCTGTCAAATCAACAATAAGAAAGTGTTGACCTTGGGAAGACACGAGCACAAACCGAGAGCGCCTTTCACTTCAAAATCGAGCAGCCTGAGCACGCCCCGTCTCTCTACGTGAACTGCTTCATCCTCTAACAACCTTGCAGGAGGTCTTACGGGTGATTTAGGTTTGGGAGCTAGGACGGGAACCTGTGGCTCCTGCCACATTGAAGTAGAAGTGTTGACGGCAAAGGCAGGGTGTTGAACTTGTTCTGGAAGGTAATTTGTGGGTTTGGGTTCTTGTTTATCTTCGCTGTTGCCAGGAGAGATGGGAGGGGTGATAGGCCCCTGGCCGATCATGGCCTGTGGTTCACAAAAAAGTCGAACATCAACCGAGTTACCAGTCGCACCACCTGGGACATCGAATGAGGTCGAACGGGAGGATTGCATTTCAGAATCATGCATCCTTTCACTGAACTAAGATATGAAGGACTGGAGGTTGAGAGTTATGGTGTGATAACAGAGCAGGACGATACAAAATGACGGACCTGAAAAAAGATTGATGGTTTCTCTTCCACCCTGCCGGGGGTGCAATCGCGAAAGTTTGAGAGAATCGATGGGTAAATGAATGCTGAGAAGGAGAGGGCAAGCTTGGCGAAGGGGCCAAAGGCGTAGAGATAGGCCTGGGTAGGCCTCGTATTATTTGTGAAGCAGGGGAGTGGATGAGAAGAGAGAGGAAGGAAGATAAGTTGAGCGTGAGTGCGGTTCTAAGTAGGATACGACGGTTGCTGAGACAGAAGTTCACAGAACTTGAATATCCTGACAAGCGTCACCCCGGCCGTTGCCCCGTGACGTGTAAGCGAGCGAGTGTCCGGCTTCATTCTGCTTTTATATTACTTTTAGCCTTTTCGAGTCTTTAAGCGCTCGCGCCACAAGTAATCTCACTACCTCACTCCCTAGACGTCCGACTAGTACTATCCGACGTTTTACTACATTACAAGCAGGTCTGTCCATGGTGTCCAGACTCTAATGACCTCAAACGTCTTATAATTCGATATCGTGTACGGTGCTGTACAGTCACGGCGGCGTCAGCCTTTGGTTAGAGCCCTGAGCCATAATGCATAATGAACAAACAGCGGTCTTCCCATTGGTAGCTTGACAGTCTAGGGCACTCAGGTTTGCTAGGGCCAAGGTTCGTAGTAACCCCCTTCTAGCACAGGCGAAGCCTTTAGGGTTCTCTGCAGGGATGTCTGTGACCTGGTCCGACGGAAGAGTCTAATACGAGAATGCTCAAAGACATTACATACTGTATCAATATTTGATGATCCAGATGCGGACGTCTAGAGGCACTTGAACTGAGGAGCTTTGTACTATGTATACCCCTGTATATTATGAAATACACGTGTTTGATGACTGCACAGCATTACCTCGCACAAACACCCGGCTGCACAACCCTGGTGTCAAAAACTTGTTTTCCATTTTATCTATAAGCTATGTCAAATC